AAAGTCGATCGACCAAAAAAAATTTAATGGGTTAGGGCGGGGGTGTGAACGTGTTGAGAACGATGGTATGGAGCAAATGCTAGAAAATTAAACCCTCCAAATTGTTTATATAAGGCCAATAGTATGCTCGAACTTAATCTACAGGCAATAGCTAGCTAGGCTTGTTAACTATATTCATTTCTAGCTCCTCCTCTTTCCTCAGGTTTTTTTCATGGGTTTCTTCTCTGTGTTTCTGTTCCTAATTCTCTGCTCTTTCGAAAAGGACATTGCTCTGGCAGCAACAAGTCCAGAACCCCACCTTCTGCCACACACTACTCACACAGTTGAAGTAAACTCTCTTCTACCAGCAACCACCTGCACCCCCTCCACCAAAGGTTAATTCTTCATTTCAACATCTCTCTCTCTCTCTCTCTCTCTCTCTCTCTCTCTATATATATATATATTCATATATTGTCTGGCATCCAGTATTTCGTTAGGCCTTGCTATATACGCTGTTAATTCCAATGGCGCATGGGAGTAGAGTTTGCTATTATTCATATGCATAGAAAAACAACACTCTTTTTTTCTCTTTTTAAAGTTTAACATATTAAACTTATACACACTACACAAATGCTATGACTTGAACCTTTCATAAAAAAAACAATTGTTCTAAATCACTACTATTTAAAATAATAATAATAATAAATAAATAAAAAGCCCCGTGCCCCATTACCTTTGTGTCTCTCTCACCTGCATGACGTGCATGGTCTTGTTACCCGTAAACTAGTGCCAGGCATGCATAATGCACAGGTGGATATAATTGTGAGTATATGCATAAAGAGTCACATGTATACATACACTCATCCCTTTCAATGACCAGGTCATACCAACAACAAGGCATCAATATTGGAAGTGGTACACAAGCATGGGCCATGCTCTATATTCCACAAATCATCCAAAACTTCAACCACAAAAAGTGATGACAAATACCACGCTCAAATCCTCAAGCAAGACGAAGCCCGAGTCAACTCAATCCACTCCCGCCTCAACTACAGAATCCAAGACCCATTCACCCAATCCGCCGCCTCCACCACCCTCCCAGCCAAGTCCGGTCTCCTTCTGGGTTCAGGAAACTACTTTGTCACCGTCGGCCTCGGCACGCCCGCCAAGCAACTCTCCCTCGTCTTCGATACCGGTAGCGACCTCACCTGGACCCAATGCCGCCCATGTGTTCGATCTTGTTACACACAGAGCGAGCCCATCTTCGACCCTTCTCTCTCTGCCTCATATAAAAACTTATCCTGTACATCCGCCACGTGTACTCAACTCTCATCCGCCGGCATCCAACACGATTGCTCCTCCGCCTCGTCCTCCTGCCTTTACGGCATCCGGTACGGAGACGGGTCCTTCTCCATCGGGGATTTCGCCAAAGAAAAACTTACATTGACCTCCAAGGACGTTTTTGAAGGTTTCCTCTTCGGCTGTGGCCAAGACAACGAAGGCCTTTTCCACGGCTCTGCCGGTTTGCTCGGTCTCGGCCGAAACAACATCTCCCTCGTCGAACAAACCGCCATGAAATACAACCGCTTCTTCTCCTACTGCCTTCCGTCAACTTCCAGCTCCACCGGTCATCTCACCTTCGGCAAAGGAGGAGGCTCCGCTGACGGCGTCAAGTTCACCAAGCTCACCACGTTATCCAAAAGAGCTTCATCGTTTTATGGCCTCGGCCTCACCGGCATCAGCGTCAACCGGCGCCAGCTGCAGGTTGCGTCCTCGGTCTTTTCGTCTTCGGGAACCATCATCGACTCGGGGACGGTGATCACGCGGCTGCCGGCGACTGCGTACAGGGCGTTGAGGGACGCGTTTCGGGAGGGTATGAAAAACTACAAGATGACTATGTCGTTTTCGCTGCTGGACACGTGTTACAATATCAGTGGCTACAAGACGGTGTCGTATCCGGGTATTGCGTTTAGGTTTGGGGACGGGGTTACGGTGGACTTGGACCCGGCCGGGATATTGTATATGGTAAGTAGTTCGCAGGCTTGCTTGGCGTTTGCGGGACACAAGGATGATACTGGCTTGGGGATTATTGGGAATGTTCAACAGAAGAGGTTGGAGGTGGTGTATGACGTGGCTGGTGAAAAAGTAGGATTTGCCCCTGCAAGTTGCCCCTGAGTAATGAACATCGTCCATGGGGCATAATTGTAACACAAACTGCTAGCTCTAGAATAAAGCATTGTGTTACATATTTTTCTGTAATGGGATTGTATTGGGAAGTATCCAATCTTACCTTCCCCCTACTTGCATAAAATAGTCTAATGACCAATCAAGCTATAGTATTTTATATAATAATAAAATAATCGAATGTATTTGGAGGGAAATTCCAACTCAAATACAAAAAGGGATTCACTGCCCTAATCAATTCTCCTAACTCACGTATGTTGTCGACGTGTTGATGTGATGTTTCTCTTTTAAAATAGCAAAAGTAGAACAGTAATCTCCATCTCCTAGTTTGGGCTTGTTTTGCTTTTGGACTGGACCAGGCCAACTCTAGCATAAAATGTCTTAAGAAGGACCCAAAAGAAAATAAAAAAAGAAAAGGTCAGTGAATTGGGAAGGCTTTGGCTTGGGCTTGGGCTTGGGCTTGGGCTTGGGCTTGGGGTGGTTCAACTTCAAAGTTTGACCAGTGCCTAGGGTTCAGCGTATTGGTTTCAGCGGACAGGCTCGTCGGTCTGGAGTCTGTGTCTCGGGCTGCGCATCCTTAACTAACCACTTTCCGATTGCTTTGGTAGCAAAAACCAGACACAGAGAGAGGGAGACAGCCACAGCACGCCATGATGTTTTATAACAAGAGGACAAAGCATCATAAAAAATTATATAACACCCTAGCGTATTATATTTGGCTAATTAATTACCCTAATCAATTAGTTTAGTAAACCCGATGCTTTTGTCCTTTACAAGTCCACTTCATTTGTGTGGACGAAATGAAACTCATCTGCATCATCAGGAACCTCACCGTATCCTCCATAATCCATATCCACCCATGCTCTCGGCGTAGCAAGTAATGCACATCACACAAATATACAGAAAGCTCATAAATAAATAAATTGTTATTAGCACTTAAAAATAGGTGTTTTACATTTATTTTTAATCTATATATATATAGCAAAATGCAGAGAATGGTAAGCTATTCTAAATACCAGAAAATACTCTTAATTAATACAAATATTAAGATTCAAAATTATTAATTAAATGATAATAAAATGATAAATTTACACCTTTTTTATATTAAAAACAATTAAAATTAAAAGTAAAATCAGATAATAGATTATATTTTTATAAATAATCCTCAAGGGAGAGCCTCTAATTAAACAAAAAAGGATAATCCTCAAGTTGGAGCCTCTAATTATTGATCATACTCACTTGGCCCTGTCCTCAAAGCAACGCATCGCTTTAAAATATTTGTTTAATTCGAAAGCAGCAGGCTAGCAGCCAAGCACACTAAAAAGTTGCAGAAAGAGAGAAAATAAATGTAAAAGAATCCCGACAAAAAAAAAAGTAAAATGGGGATTCCACATTGGTCGTCCGCCCTTTTTAATTCTAACGCTCAACAACTGGATGGTTCGTATTCAATTCCCCATACCAGTCGGGTCCTTTTTCATATTCTTGACAAGAGGCTTGACGCAGCCAGGTGGACTCAAAAAACCAAAATTTGTTCCCCTTAATTTTTCTTTTTAACAAAGCGATATTATAAACTACTCTCGTGTAAAAGAAAAAAGACCGAACTAATCGACGAGGATGATATTTAGTCAATGTTATCTTACAACACCAACCAACAACTATAACGAAATTAAAACAAAATATATTTATTGTCGCAAAATAATCAAATATATACTAGGAAAGCAATTATTGAAGCACCGGTTACTTGTCCCCTAAAAGAAATGTTCCATCTCTGTGTGTTTTTTGTGACCAGGAGTAAAGCAATCGGAAGCCGATCCAACACTCAAGTATTCTTCTTTCGTCATCCAAATACCTTTTTCGTAAAAAAAAATAAAGAAAAAACAAAATGATGACCTAAAATTTTGAAACTTGAGAGCCCACACAATGACAATGCTTCAATGGTGGGAAGAGGAGAGCCAAGTAATAAACTGCCGAAAGGTCCTACTCAATTCCTTCGGAACAACTTTTAACCGTTTATTCAATTTCGGTAAAATACCCCCACTATCCCGAGTCCACAAGTTTTAGTGTACGACTTTTCTTTCTTCAGTTCTACTATCACCAGTTGTCAATAGACTCTATACATATGTAGAAGTAATTTGCATCGATAGCCGAATAATTTTGATTCGTTGATATATGTGCGTATGAACGAATAATTTTGTATGAACGAATAATTTTGATTCGTTGATATATATGCGTATGAACGATTGACGATAGAACCAATAACAAAAAAATTAGTGGCATTTCCAAATTCTTCCTCCATCATTGCTAGGTGCCAACTACCTCTATTTACCATATAACACTAATGTCCTTTTATCAATCACCATTGTCACCACTATAAAACCTTTCGAATATAAAAACGAGTATCAAATGTTTAATGACGTACAAAGGAATGTGACAATGACGGATGTGGTAGTACCCTTTTGTGACGTCCCACCACCAAAGTAAAGAGTAAATGGTAATTAGCAGCACCTAAAAATAAAATAACAAAACCCACATTTTCTGTGTTAAATTATTAATAGTAAATTTAGGTTTTAGTAATAAAAAAAATTTCACTTTTAGAAAAAGCCAAATCTTTTTCAAAAAAGACAGAAAAATCTCTCAACTTTCAAATCAAAGACATGCAAATGTAAAGGATTCCTTAGGAAATTCAAAAATAAATAAGGGCAATTTCGTCCATTTTGGCTTCTTTTACAAAATTTCTCTCTCCTTTGTGTTTTTCTAAAGTCTCCTTAAATTAATCCCGAGAAACCAAAATCATGCATTGGTAATTTGGTAGAGACAAGAGAAAAAAAAAAGGAAAGTGAGTAATCAGTTGCATTGTTATTTGTTGTTACCATTTCATTTTATTATCTACATCGTCATTCCACTAATCCCCATGAAAAAAGGACTTACCCCACCCTCAAACGACTTACAATTAACAACAAATAATTTAAAACTTTTTTTTTAATTAACGAAAAAAGGAAACAATTAAAAGCTACCGCCGTTTACGAGTTTCAGTCGTCGTCGTCGTCGCCGGACTTATGATGATTCACCTTCGCAAAGCTCAGTCCACGCGCTACGGCTGGACCATGCGGCGCGTCCACCACCGTCGCCGACGACATCTCCATCTGGCAAACCCTGACCGCGCCGACTAACTTCTCGGGCAGCTCATCCTCTGCCTGCGCCTCCACCACAAACCCCATGTCAATCGTAATGCAAGTCACGTATCTCAATGCGAGTCTCAGAATGGCCTTCGCGATCCCCGAGCTCGCGATATCCACGTCAATTTCAAGGTAGTTAGGTCCTCTATGGTAATTACAAGTCAGCGCCTTCCCCAACAAACACGCACTGTAATTCCCCACCGTCTTCTCGACGATCCACGGCCCTTTCACAATCCGATTCACGATTTTGAACCGCTGGTTCCTGAACGAGTCGTCCCCGTTGATGAACCGGTATAGGAGCGAGCTGGAGGGGATAGGATCCTCTGTGGCGAAGTAGAACACCGCGCTGTGCTGGTCCTTACCGGGGACTTGTAGATTCACAGCGAAAATGAAGCTCTTCATCGACTTGCCTTGGGCCTGGGCCTTCCGCAGCGCGTTGGCCACGCGGTTATCGGGGCGGGCGAGTACGTTATCGAGTTTGGTGCTGGATCTGAGCCAGTCTGTGCCGCACGGCGTGAGTAGGTAGTCGCCGGCGGGGCCTTTTTGCTTTTTCGTCAAGTAGTTCTTTGTGCGGAGAGAGAATAGGTCGCCGGGAGGTGAGGCCCAGCCATTGGTTCCGGTGGTGAGGTCCACGTGGCGCAGTGATCCGCTGTGGATGGACTCGGAGATCCAATCGGCGGGGGGGGGTGTGGGCTCGTCGGATCTGGAGCATTTTCCGACGTGATCGGCGACGGAGCTCCGATGTTTTTGCTTGGTTGTTGGACACATGGTTTTGTCTCTCTTTGTTTTTGCTTTCTCTGTGAGACTGTGACTCTCCTCTATCGAAGTGAGCACCTCATAATGGAGGCTACGGTGGTGTATAATAGTTTAGAAAACAGAAGTGCCCTTGCTTTTGGAGAAAATTGCGATACAGCCCTCGATTTTGGGACAGCTAATTTTACATAATTATTTCCAATTTAATTATTGATCGCATCTGTGACAGATAATTTACACGACTCTATATATATTTATATGCTTTTCTGGCTTTGTTTTTTCATCTTCTTCCTTTTTTGGGAAAATTTAAAACATTGGCCACCATTTCGCACACCTAAAAACAATTTATTTTCATTTTCCTTGCCTTAAATATATATATATTTTTTGAGAGAGACTTAAATATATTTCATGATAACATGTTCAAGTAAAATTTATAATTAAGCATGCTTTTTTTTTTTTTTTTGTTGATTAAAAATTAAGCATGCTTAAACACTCCTTTTGACTCCCTATTGAAATTAAGAAAACGAAAAAACACAGTCCCTTTGACATGAGAGAAAACTCTCATGTAATGGGTATAGCACTTTTTGCTATCCCGTTTAATAATGCAATGACACATAAGATAACTTTTACACGTGTCATTGTGTCATTGGCTGTAAATAACAAAACAGTGTTATCCCCATTATAGATAAAAAAAATTGCTTTGACACATGCCTTGAATTAAATAAATCACATGTAGCAAATCAGAGTCTTGGAGAATGAATATATTAATTGCTGACAATTAAATAAAATTGCATGTGCTAATAATAAAACCACATGCACTTGGATAAAAATAATTTGCCCATGTGACACTACTATTGCATTGCACGGTTGAAAACAAGAAAAAGCGGGAGATAGGTAGGTAATAAGTGACAAATTTAAGATTCATTGTACCTAATTTCCTTGGTTTGATTAAAAACGAATTCCAAAGTAAGTTTTGTGCATTCCCCGTTATGATTTGGGGGAGGGGTTTTAGATTCTCAAAACTCGAAAAGGAAGAACTTGATTTTGAAATGTACTTGAGTTTGAAGACATTATGTTGTCAATTTCATAGTATGGCTGCATTTTGATTATAGAAATATATTTAATCACCATGTTTGTCTTTTTACAAAAAAAAAAAAAAAAAAAAAATACTTAATTTTTTTTTTTTTAGAAAAACCAACTATGATGTCATGGAAGTTCAAACTAAACACTA